GGACGTCCGAAAAGACGGAGTTGTATCTGCGGCAAAGCAAATAAAACGGGATGTGTGAGCTTCACCACAGAAAAACAAACTAGGTGGTCTCACTGCTGCACAGGAAGAGGAGCGACTTCAAGCAGGCGCTGGCTTCCGTCTTTCACCGAACAAGTGTTCTTCAAAACACCAAAATATACAAATTTTAAGGAACAGAACGATTTAACAATTCGGACAAAATAAGTAATGAATATGTGTGTGTTTTATTGCAAATTTACTTGCGCGTGTGTAATTTGGTTATTCCAGATTCAGTGTTTATGCACAAATAAATGTCTTTCCAAATGAAAAGGTTCAACAATACATATCTGGAGATAAAAGAAAATGTGCACATTTGCAGTCAATGAAGTTTGGCCTGTACCACTTTTTCATTGTGGCCCAGTTTGAATTTGACAGCCCTGCATTAGAGCAGTTTTGTTGTGTGCTGTTGAAAACAATGTTAGACAAGGCTTCCATCTAGTGGTAACATTCAGTACTACAAGCAGTCAGTCTGTTTCTGTGTTGTTTTCAGTTAATTTACTGCACACGTCTTATTTTTCTGGTTTCACTTTCGGTTTATATTGTTGAAATAGATCAATATTATTTAGTTTTTCTATTTGATTTATTTTTAAAACTCTGACTTCAGTGAATGTGTTTAATCCGTATTCAATCTATATTCTTTAAAAACAAGTAAAATCTTTGTCCTTGTGTTCAGCAGCTGAGGGTTCAGTCACATCTTCGTATTAGAATCTAGATCCTGAATGGTTCTCAATGTTCTCTGAATATGCAGATTTTAATGAGGCATCACATGTAAGTGAAACTTACTGACAAAGTTCAAATAAAACATGTGCATGCCATGAATGAATAACCTGTATTTGTGTTGATATTTTGAGTTTGCATATAAATAATGTCCTTGCAATGTAAAATTGAGTTTAGGTAGAAGCAGGGACGCTGCCAGGGATTTTGGGCCCCATTTTTGATGCATTTTATGTCAACTTCAACTTTATTTATAAAGCGCGCCTTACAGGCAAAAATATGCCACCAAGGTGCTACACAGACCAAATAAAAACCTAAAACATTAAGTCCAGAAAATAAAAACATTGGATACAGATAATAAAGCACAGTGAATACACGGATCAATTTAAGCAAAACAGTAAAAACTAGTTAGAAAGATTAAAAGACAGATCATAAAAGTAGGTTTTTAGCCTTGCATTAAAAACCGCCACAGAGGTGGAGGCCCTTATGCTGAGAGGAAGCTCGTTCCAAAGCTTAGGACCTGCCACAGCAAAGGCCCTATCACCACGCATCTTTAGGCACGATCTTGGGACCGAGAGGAGCATGAGGTTCTCCGAGCGGAGTGACCGTGCAGGGGTGTGCGGTTGAAGCAATGACACCAAGTAAGGAGGGGCCAAACCATTTAACGTTTTAAAAACTAGCAAAAGTATCTTAAAACAAATCCTTACATCAATGGACAGCCAATGAAGCGCAGCCAGGACTGGGGTAATGTGATCATACTTGCGCCTGCCCTCTAGAAATCTGGCAGCAGCATTCTGCACCATTTGCAACCTGGCTATTGCGCCCTTGCTCACACCAAATAAAACAGAGTTACAGTTGCACCGTAATAAAAGCATGGACTACCGTTTCAAGATCATGTCGTGACAGGAAAGGTTTGATCTTTGACAGTCGACGAAGGTGGAAAAAGGAGGAGGAGATCACTCCATTAATGTGGGTGTCAAAATAAAGGGTGCTATCTAGTTTAACACCAAGATTAGTCACTGAAGCACTCAGCTTGCCATTAAATGACCCACAGTCAATTAAAGAAGAGTCAGAATGTCTGCTTGGAGCAAACAATATAGCCTCTGTTTTCTGATCATTTAAGCTCAGAAAATTTCCACTCATCCAGGTTTTAATCTCCGTCAAGCAATTCATACGATTAGAAATAGAGAGACCTCCTGACGTGTTCAGAGGCAGGTACAGCTGACAATCGTCAGCATAAAGGTGAAAGTGAACTCCAAGCTTATGACAGATATCACCTAAGGGCAGGATGTAAATAGAAACAACAAAGGTCCCAATATCGAGCCCTGTGGTACCCCCCCCCCCCCCCCCCCCCCCCCCCCCAGGGTAAATCAGAGTACTGTGAGGAATAACTTCACATCCTTACACACATCTTTCTATTTGTCAGGTATGATCTAAACCACTCCAGGGCTAACCCTGAAATCTCGACATAATGATGGAGACGGTGAAGCAGCACTTCATGATCTATCGTGTCAAAGGCAGCCGTGAGGTCCAGCAGAAGTAACAACACAGGATTACCGTTATCAGTAGCTAGATTAATGCCACTGAGCACTCTAACCAGTGCAGTGTCAGTGCTATGTAGAGCTCTGAAGCCAGACTGGAAAGTCTTAAAAATAGCATTCTCATCCATAAAAACACATTTCTCTAGTACCTTACTCAAGAATGGAAGTTTAGAAATGGGTCTGTAGTTTGCAGACAGCAAAGCATCCAATCCAGTCTTTTTGAGCAAAGGTTGAACAACCACCTTTTTAAAATCGTCAGAGACTTTGACAGATCTTATACTCATGTTAATTATGTGCAATATTAGAGGGGCGACTACTGGAAAGACTTCTTTAAAGAGGCGAGTAGACATCACGCCATCTGGCGAGCTGCTCAGCTTAGCCTCCCCAACGATCTTGATCAAGTCATCTAAACTAATTGGTAGTAGTCACAGAAGGTTGCATTCCGGTGCCCTATAGCCCAGAGCGCAGCTACTTTCCCCATAAAAAAAGTTAAGGAACTCATCACACATTTTAGCTGAAGCCTGCACCACTTGGTGATCATTCACTTTCAAAACTGAGTCAATTGTGGTATAAAGAACTCTGGGGTTATTTGAGTTTAAGGAAATGAGATTGGAATAGTATGCAAATTTCGCAGATCTAACTGCCTCTTGGTAAGATTTCCAACTGTCACGTAGAGCAAGTAGGGAAACATGCAGATTATCCTTCTTCCACTGTCTCTTGTATCTTCTACATGTCCTTGCAGTTCGAGTGGAGTTCGTTGTTTACCGTACGCAGAGGTGGAAAGATTACTAAAAATGTCCTACTTAATCACGAGTACCAATACTTTGTTAATTTTATACTCAAGTACAAGTTAAAGTACTTGCCTAAATTTTTACTCAAGTAAGAGTAAAAAGTATCATAAATTAAATGTACTCAAAGTAAAAGTTACAAAGTTACATTTTTGTCAGCATAAAGATGGCTACATCAGTGCAAAAGCACAACACCAGTTCACAACAGGCTCATGTGTGCGCACGCACGCGCACACACACACACACACACACACACACACACACACACACACACACACACACACACAGTTTGATGGAGGGATTTTTATCCAGTCAGTGAGAACAGGACGTGCACATTGATTGGACGAGGTTTTTCCAGGCTTGTACGTTTCAATTGGGATTAAAATTATTCTTTATTTTGAAAAAAGAAAAAAAGTTAATTTTTAGATGCTAGCAGTATGTGAGGTATCTCAATGTTTTCATGGAAAACTCTAACATGAGACTGTGCTCTAACCCGTCACATAACGAGCTAAATGAAATTCAAACATTTCAAATGGACCGTATGACAGCTGCTAACGTTGGCCCTGCCCTACTTTACCTCTACATTACAGTTCCTTTATCCGTGTCCATCCTAGAGCTCCTCTCTGACTTTTAAAGTTAGCAGAGTTCATCCGTGGGTTATTTATTTAGCACATTCATTGAGCAGTTACATTTGTTGTACTCTTTCAAATTTTACAACATTACAACAACAATGCTCAAATGGAGTTGGCTGAAGCAAAGAAGCGTATGTGCACCTACCCCACATTGCAATATTCACTCACTCATTTAACCCTTCACCACTGAAATCAGTTTGTTCATTCCAGTCCTCCTAAATAATCCTCCAATCATCCAACTGGAATCCTTAAGGGTCCCGTAACGTCCATCCTGTCAGAACAGACCTTGGGAGCCCAGGTGTTACTAGAACTAATGGTGTCTCCTCACCAGCGTGAGCCTCCAAACTGTGAAGGTTGGTCTCCAAACATGAACTTTAAATTCATGCATTTATCTCCTCTTGTAACACTTTAACATGTTTTAAAAGGCTTGTATCATGATAAGTTACACCTCCCACACCAAAGATAGGTACAATATAAGATAAAACATTATCATAAACACTGCAGAGACGTCATTATTTATGAAATGTTATTTTCCTGAGCCATTACTTCAGCCAAGATATAGGATGCATGGATTTGATGAAACCATGCTGTCTCATGCAGTCCTATATGTGTAACACACACGCGCGCGCGCGCGCGCACACACACACACACACACACCATGGCTAATTTAACTACATTGAACTGCTTTTGTAATAATTTAATCTCTTATTCAAGAGGAAAAATAAAGAAACAAGCTAAATCATCACGTATCCGTGGCATCAAGAAGCATCTTCTGAGTTCAAAAACAGGGATGGAGCATAATGTTTATACCTGAACAGTATCAGGATGTTTTAACTCAGGCCTGCAGGTCTTCTGTTTTATGAGCAAAGCGCTGATAATCCACTTATTGTGAGCGCTAAACGTTATTTTGCCGCAGCCGTGCGGAGCGGTAGGGAAACACATTTCAAACACGGAACCGAGTCTGGCTACCGAACCGAGTGGAATTGTGATGACGTCACACCGGTGCGCAAAGGTGCGGGTCCAACCCACAGGAGAGGAGGGAGAGGAGGTGAACAGCGAGTGGGTTAAGGATAGCCTCACAGGTCTCAGGCCTCCAAAAAGCCAATTTACTTGGCGGAAGAAATATAAACAGAGCAGATACAATAGGCCTTCGCAGCGCTTTCGCTGCTCGGGCCTAATAATAATTCAAGTTCTTGATTTGTTATTCACCTATATATAAAATATTGTTAAACAAATCGTTACTTCTCTCTTATATTAAACGAAAGCCAAATTAACATGCATGTATAAATAATATAAAAAGGGTTTAAACTATAAAAACAAACATTTCGATCAGTCCACCCTCAATGAAGTAATTGCACATGCGTAGACCCAAGACAGCGCTTCTACTACGTCACTTCCTACGCGCGTAGGATAATGCTAATAGCAGTTAGCAAAACAACAGACCATCGAGAAGAGTCTCGCGATTAATGTCCACTCCGTTAAACACCGCTCTTCTCTACTGTATGGATGTTCTTTTGTAAGGTGCTGTGTCATTATATCCAAACAACCGCGCGGCTAAGCGGCTGCTTAGTTGTTGACATTGATAAGGGATGGTAATTGTGTCGGCGCCCTCAAGGCGGACTTGGCTAACCCAACTTTTTCTTTGTCCGCGGAAGTTTTCCTCTGATATGCTTTTAAGCCTCCAGCTCGCTGAGCCTCGGCGTTAAGCCGGACTCCTGAGTTCGGGACCCGGTTAGGATGAAGCTGCAGTGTGACGTGGAGGTGGTGAATCGGCTGCTTCCCTCGTATGGGATGAAAAGTCGGGGTAAGGGGGCGAGAGCGGTGGTCTCCATCGGGAAACACTTGGACAAGTCCAGCCATCGCAGTATTATTTACATGATGATCTGCACAGCCAAAGACAGGACAGGAGCTAAGTATAAGGTGTGTGTGTGTGCGTGTGCGTGTGTTCCCGTTGGCATTCGTTGTGCTATTATTATTGTTTACCCGCTATGATTAGTCTTAGTGTATTCATATCCAGATCTGGATGATTGATTACTCCTAATTATCACCCGAAATAAGAGTTTTTGGGAAGTTTGTCTCATTATCTACGTTAAATTACTACTTAGTTTAAAAATAACTGTTTTGCAACTGATGTTTATAAAGTAAAATGAAGTTAAAATAACTCCTAAAATGTTTAAGTTTGTAATTCTAAGCCTTACAAAATCACAATTTTCCTGACATAAACATTTTACTGCAGCATTTCCTTCACCTGTCAGAAGGTAGTAGGTCAGCCTTGGAGAGATCTTGATGCATAGGTTCAGCCTTGGGTTGTAAAACAGGCTTTTCCACTTCTTACGTTTGATGGTTTCTCTTTCAGCTAAAGGACAACATCGAGAAGTTCTTTTCTTGGTTTGTGGAGGAAGGAAAGGCGACTGTAAGGCTAAAGGAACCAGCTGTTGACATCTGTTTGAGCAAGGTATGGCACAAAGACGCTCACTTCAAAGACACCGGTTTTTTCATTTGTTTATTTATCAAATTACTGATTATAACTTTATAAGTAGAGGTGCCAAAGCAACTCATTTTCTTTTCTGAAAAAGCTCTTTAGTGTGTTTTAATGGTTGCATCACTAAAAACCTTTCATACTTGGCAGATTTGCAACTTTGATGAATGTCTGACATTATAATTAACCAGACAGGACATAAATACATTAAATTTCAGCTCAATACACCTGAATGCAGAGATAATGTATTCATTTTCTCCAGATCCTTTTACATTTGATTGCATCAACCTATAACAATTTTAAGAATTATTCTCCGCTGTACTCGGTTTTATTCCCATCAGCATAACTGTATCAGGATAATCTAGGCCAGTGAATTCAGGTTAGGTATTTCAAGGAATTTGGTCAAACACCCTCTACTGCTGGAGACCGTTATAGACGTCTGTTGTGTGTGTTACCTAGCCGCCCCACTGACACACCTGCTACTTCATTTAATTATCTGCAGGCTGATGCGAACAGCTTGAAGAGCTTCCTCGCAGCAGCGCGTTTGGCAGACCGAGGGAGCGACTCCAGCAGCCTTCCTCTGTCCACGCTCACACCTGTTCGTGCCAGGGATGTGGAGCAGCTAAAGAAGAAGCTCACCATCATGTCCAAGAAAGATTACCCCCTCACCTCCAACTTTCCTTACTCCCTGGAGCAGCTGCAGGTCTCGTACTGCAAGCTGTCACGGGTGGACATGCGCATGCTGTCCCTTAAAGGTATAAGGACTTCAGTGAGGTTTTTACAAATATATATACGGTTTTCTAACATTGGGTTGTAGCTTGGGTTTTATTTCCATTAGGACTCTGTCACCATGTCATGACTGATAAGTTTAGATTGACCAGCGTTGGTGAATTTTAGTAGGAGCCTACTGGTTTTAATGGTGTGCTCTTCTATGTTTTTCCCTTCCTAGCACTGTGCAAGCTGGATCTGAGCAACAATCACATCAAGAAACTCCCGGCGACCATCGGCGACCTTGGCTGCCTCTCTGAACTCGTCCTTCATAACAACCACCTGGAGGCCTTCAGTCAAGCCCTCTGCTTGTCAACGCTGCAGCGGACCCTCCGGGTCCTGGACATCAGCCAGAACCGACTGCAGTCCCTGCCTGCACAGTTTTGCCAACTCAGAGAGCTAGTCAACCTGAAGCTTGACGACAACAAGCTTGTTTGTTTGCCATTTCACGTCGGCCGACTCTCCAAGCTGAGGTTTCTGTCCGCTGCACATAACCAGCTTACGGTTCTACCTTGTGACTTCCGTAAGCTGAGTCTGGAGAACCTGGACCTGTTTGGAAATCCTTTTATTCATCCCAACCCTCTGGACCACGCAATGCAACTTAAGTTTCCCCTCCCGCTTCAAGAGATAGCCTCTAGAGCTGTGGCTGATCTCAGGTCTGATTTGAACTCATGTGCGGTCACAAATACTATCTTTGTCAAAACGTGCAAACCTGATCTACTTTGGTTCTGTTCTCAGGATTCCATACGGACCTCACCTCATTCCTGCTCCCTTGTGTCAGGACCTCGAAGTAGCCAAGGCATGTCAGTGTGGACGCATCTGCATCAACTTCTACATCAAGACGGCAGTGAGCATGAACCTGCACCAGGTCTCCCACACAGTGGTGCTGGTAGATGACATGGGCGGCACAGACGCGCCCGTGCAGCAGCACTTCTGCTCCCTCTCCTGCTACTCTGAATTCTTAGATAATGCTCTGCAGCGAGGCGTGTGATGAGGCGTGCAGGTTTTTGGCCTAAAACGTTTATTGTGATGTGAGATGATGACAAGAAGAGAGTGCTGAATTTGGCAGCCCGGCGGTTTCCTGGTGGGAGGCTTTTAATACCAGGAGAGTTTGGACTTTATTTTGTTTTAAGAGTGCTTCCAGCAGCTGCTTTCACATTTACATTAAACAAACTTCACTTAGAACCTGCTCCATTTGCACTAGACTGACTATATTCAGTCACACACAGATTCTGGTCTGCTGTTCACATTTTGTATGTTCTCCCTTCATTTTAGAGCAAACTACAGGTTCTAATTACCCACACTTCTTATGCAAGGGGACACATGTAAAGACACCTCTTCTGTACACAGTACCTCAGGCTTCGTGTTGCTAAAAGGATTTTTTTGTTACTGTTCTGAAGATCCTTATTTTTAAAAAAAAACATGAAAAAAATAAAAAATTTTGTGTTATGTGTTCAGTTTTTTGTTTCCTAAGCAAGACTATTGATTTCTGCTGAACGGAGCGTCGCACAGAGGGTAACTTCTTATTTTGATCTACCACAAGCTGAAAATATATGAGATCACATCTGTCTCTCCACCATGTAACACCCTTCAAAGAATCAGTCTTTCCCCGAGATGCATTTTTACACGTGATGTGATCTGAAAAGCATTTTTCTAACCTGAGACCTTACAATTCAATTCAAAAATACTTTATTAATCCCAGAGGGAAATTGATTAAAGGCACAGGTGCTTCCCCACCATGCAGGAAATTCGCCCTTTTATCCAGCTGATCCAACACACAAACAGCAACAAATGATGCTTAGATAACTAATGTAATAAGAAGCCCTCTACGTAATATATAATATCAGCAGATTAATATGTTTAGGCAAGTTTTCACAATTACTACATATTTTATTTATTTTTAATACAATTCAGATTAATTGTATGAATAGATATAATTTTATCAAGGCGTGTAATTTTTTTAAAGGGTGAATTAATATTTATGTTTTAGGACATTTGTCACAGTCGGAAGATTTTCATTGTTGCACCGGTCACTTCCTCTTCCCCACACGTTGCCATGGTTACAGCAACCAAACGAACTTGTTTCTCCATTTCTGCTTTCTTGGCGAGAAAAATTAGACCTAAAACGAAATAAGCATCGCCCCGCCGAGTTCATAGTCTATATCGTCTAATTTTCATTTATCTGGAGTTATTTTTTTGGCCGTCTGTGAAACGAAAACTCGTCGCCTTGGCATAGTTTAATCAGCATGGATGCTGGGAATAAGCTGAAAGAATTGAACCTAACACCGGATGAAATCGACAGATTTACCAAAGCTTTCAGCGACGAGAAATTCAAGGATTTGTTGCGCGAATACGCTCAAGAAATATCCGACCCGGAAGCCAGGAAAACGTATGAGGCGGAGATAAAACTCCTAGAAGAGGAGCGAGGAAACAGCGTGGAGTTCCTCCACCCGACGCCGTTTAAAGCTCTGAAAACGAGCGTGGGTGGCGAGCAGAAATGTTACGTTAACATCTGCGCCGACGAGAACATAGATAAGCCTGAATTTACGCCTGCAGTGTCGAAGGATGGCCGCAGGGGGCAGTGTTGGACCCTGCCTCACCGTCTTCACCGTGGGGGTCAAATCAGAAATGCAAAAGGTGACAAAAGTGAGACATATGACGTCATTTTCCACCCTGACACGCTGCACATGGCGACTAAAAACAAGAGATTCATGGATATGGTGGAGAATGCCGCCATTAAGGGAATTCAGGAAACATTTAACGTGACTCTGGATGAAAATAACGTGAGAGAGATGAAAACAAAATACAAAGGTGTCCCTCAGCCGTGTGTTATTAGAAAACCCATTCCAGGAATCACAGCGACGAAGAAGCCACCTGAGCAGGCAGACACGCTTGCCTTCCTGTTTCCGGATGTGACCCGGCTTTCAGAGTCGCCTCCTAAAATAAACAGCAGCTTCCAGATCCAACGGCAGAAATCCAAAGAGCCAACAAAGCCTAAATATGCAGTAAAATATCGATCTGTTGTGGATTTACAGGACTACAGGTGTTCTAGGGATTCTGCACAAAGCCCCAGGCCCAAAGAGATTGTGGTGACTATTGATCTGCCACTTCTGAGGTCAGCTGGAGACACCAGTCTGGAAGTGATGGAGAAAATCCTGCTGCTGGAGTCAAGGGAGCCAGCCTACAAACTGGAGCTGCCTTTAGCCTACCCTGTGGATGAGAACAACGGAAACGCCAAGTTCAACAAACAGAGCAGACAGCTCATCATCACGCTGCCCGTCCGACCACCCCATGAAACTTTTGATTTTTGTGTCAGACCAGCTTCACCTGTGTGTGAGACCCAGAGTGTCCATGAGGACAAGGAAGAGAGAGCTGGGGTGGAAGAAGAAGGGGTAAAATGGGAAAAGCTGAAGGGTGAAGACACAAGAACAGTGGAGAAAGATGGAAATCAAACGACAGGAAGAGAGCAATTTAAAAACAGTGAAGGAGTCAAAGAAGACGGAAAAACTGATAAGCAGGAAAAAACATGTGAGCTGGAAAGAAAAGGCCTTGAAGCTGAGGAGGAGGAGGAAATGAGAGGGGAGCTTCCCAAAAATGATTCACATGAAGATACATTACAGGAGAAGAGCGGAGGAAACGAGGAAGAAGATGCAAAGTTTCCTGCTGAGGAGGAAAGCACAGCTGCGGATAATCATGCTAAAACTGATCATCAGCATGTTCTAACCTCCAATGAGGACATGGAAGCTAAATTAAACCATGCTATGGTGTCCAAAAAGGCAACAGACATAATCCAGAACAACATGGGAGGTGTCAGCATTTCCGAAGGAGATGTGAAGTCTAGCCAGATGTTTGCCACAGATGAGACAAACTCATTAAGCAGAAAAACCCTCACCGTCGTCCCCGTGGAGCTGAGTGAAAACCACACAGATGGAGATGGCGTACCAGCACAGCAATGCTGTCAGACTCCAGAGCATGACGAGAAGCCACCAGCGGCGTTCCTGAGGGAGATCCATGCAGATGGGAATGAGACAGTGATCAGAGATCACTCCACATCTGCAGGCTTTGTCTTCCAAAACAAGCTGATGTACGAACTGGACTGATGTGTTTTAAACTCACTTACAGTCACAACAGGTGTCAAAACCTCACTTTCATCTGCTTTTTGTGCGATCTTGTTCTAAGTCTTGTGTTAGCAAAAAAAAATTCTAAGTGAATATTTTAATTTGGTTTGGTTCAAACTCTGTTATTAAATGTAGTTATTACTCTTTCTTATCGTGAAATATATTCCTAAGACAAGATGCAGAATTAAATGTATTCATTAAATTATTTGCAAATTGAAAATATTTCATACAGAGTCAAAATGTTTTTTTCTACTTGTATTTAAGCCTTCATGCTGCAGTGACAGGTTCTGACCAGCAGGTGTCAGTGTAGACTGTCGTTTAGGTGGCGCGCAGCCAGCGTGTAATGCAGGTGGGCGGGTGAACAGAGCAAGACGCTGATTGGTCGCACCCCCAACTGTTCATAATTCTCTTTGTCTGATTGGAAGGAGGAGCTGTGAGACCACCGCTTATCATTTTATAAAACAAACACTTCCGGGTTCTGTAACTGATCTCTGAATAGTGAAAATTTCTCTTTTTGTTTTATTCAGATTTAGTTTGTGGTATCAAAAGAAATGCGTAGCTTTGTGAATAAAGATTCCCCAAACAGAAAGTGAAAGATAAAATAAAAATTACATGAATGAAGATTAATGGTAGTGTTATTAAGGACCAACAACACACTTCATTTACTGGTTCTTCTGATCCGAGACTTCAAATAATCTGGTAATGAACTCCAGTGAACAGCAGACATCTTGTCTGTCACTTCTGACTCATCAAGCATTCTGGCCCAGAGATAAAGGTACACGATGTTCCCGGGTGAAATGCCAGAACAGCTTTTATAACACGCACTCAAAAATTGTAATTTAAGTCAACAGGAAGCTCCCCACAGGGTATTAAGCATATCTGGGAGAGCACGAGTAAATTTAACTGACCAGAAAAAGGGCAGAGGTAAAACAGCGAGTTGGTGTGATGCACTGAGGATGTGGGCAGACACCAACTGCATTATTGTGTCATTCAGCCGTGAAACGACTGCTGACTACACACTGATGCTAACCACGTCTCACAAACCAAACACCACCAAAAGTTCATTTAAACATCTTTTTATTACAAATATGAAATTAAATAATAACAAAAAGTAAGCCGAGGAGATACAATCAAGGTATAATCATAGTACTGATGATTAGTATTCATATTTACAGTGTCTCTTTCTTTTTCTCCGAATAAGACAAATAAACTCCTTTCATAGAAAAACAAATACATTCACTTAGACGTCAGTAATAGAATGAGGAAAATGTCTCCCGAGACGTGGGGAAAGTGAAACGTTGAAAACCAACTTCATACAAAGGCTTTGGCAAGACTGCATACAAATGATCAGTAATAGTTATAAAAAAGTAAACCAAACGTCTTCTAGAGAACACAGGTGTACAAATGAGCAGGGAAATCCAGTGCATGTTTTTTATCAATTCCAATGAGTAAAGAGGAGCAGCATTGTGCGCTTGGCTGCTCCCTTCGTCCCTCTGGTATCGTGGGAGTGAGTAAAGATGGCATTTGTTCGTTTGCTTACTTCGAGCCAGCAGGTACCAACATGCTCAGGGTGGCAACGGCAGCTTTAGAGGGAGTTTTGCCAGCAGCCATTTTGCTCAGATTGCGAACATCCGCCTGCCAGGCAGGAGTCTTTTTCATGGTCATGTGACGGCGGGCGTGTTTGGTTAGGTGATCGCTACGCATGAACCGCCGGTCGCACACGGGGCAGACAAATTTCTTCTCCCCAGTGTGTGTGCGGCGGTGGCGGGAGAGTTCGTCGGAACGGGCAAACCTCTTATCACAGCCTTCCCAGCTGCAGCTGAAGGGCTTCTCACCTAAAAGGAGGTAAACAAACAGGGAGAAGAAAAAGTGAGTAACGCTGTTGCCATTTCTGTTATGAAACAATGAGCTCAATGTCTCCTCATCGCAAAAACAAGGCCGTGAGAAGCCAGATAGACAAACAGGACACAACACTCATCTGTGGTAGAGGAACACAGTCCGAGACCTCTCTCTAACTGAGAAACGCTCACCTGTGTGAGTTCGCAGGTGAGCCTTGAGGTGGGAGCTCTTGAAGTAGGTCTTCCTGCATCCTGGAAAGTTGCAGACGTAGTTCCTCCTGCGGGAAAAGTCCATCTTTGTGGCGGCTATGCTGCTGTTGGTCCCCGCGGGCATGTACACAGGGGCCGGGGCCAGGGGTAGCAGCTTGGTGTTGCCCAAGGTCATAACAGTTTGAGGGCAGTGAGGTGCCTGAGATACGGAGGATTGTGGGAGGACCAGCATCACCGTGCCCTGGGGCACAGCTGAGCCCACGATAAGGGACTGCTGAACAGGGGGGGTGTTAGCTGAGGCAGGCGGTGGGAGAATGGGTGCTGTGGCAGTCCGAATTCCAGTACTGGACCCCTGAATGGCGCCAGGGATGAAGGCTGAGATTATCCCCGATTGGCTGCAGACAGGGAACATCTGGCAGATGATTTGAGGGCTGGTTACAGGGGGAGGGGACAAGGTGGTGGGAACACTGGGAGTGGGTGGGCTGCTTGTTGGCTGGCTGTTGACAAAAGTGGAGGTGGAGGCACTGTTCAAACAAGGTATTGAGGGGCTGCAAGGGGGCGCAGTTTCTGAAGGAGCGAGCAAGTCAGGAGGTGAGGGCGGCGCGATCACCTGCAGGGTGTTCGCTAGACATTCCTGCTGCTGCTTACAGACTAGGACATCCATGACGCCGTTTACGGTTCTCTCTGAACTAGCGGCCACTGGAATGTGTTGGCAGAGGCTTCGATCTGCAGTGTGGCGGATGACGCTGGTCGCCATGGCTCTGCAGGGTTGTGCTGGACCTGGGAGGGAGAGGGTCATCTCAGCGGTGAGTGGATGGAGCTCCGATCCAGAGCACCGTGTAGACCCACCAGGTCTTGCCTGGACCGCGCTGGTCGATGAGGTCTCAACGAAGCTGGGACTGTGAGGGGGTGTCATGCACTGCAAAGAAATGACAGAAGAATAAAGATATATCCCAGAATCTCATCCCCTGTGTTTGCATCGATAAGTATAGGTGACTAATGATCACTCTGAGCTATAAACAGTGGGTTTTATGACCTTCTATAGGGTTAGTTTTCTCTTATACCTAAGTCCTTAAGTTGAACCGTAACTCTAAAAACGTGTGATGCCTTACCAGAGAAGAAAGAGACACAAAGTCCTTTGGGGGTTCTGGGATCTCCAGCGGTAGGAGAGAGTCACAGGAATCAGAGGCAGGGGTGAGGGGTCTAGGCTTGCAAGGGTTCGGCTTGTTGCTGCTGAGGAAGAGACTCTGTCCCCAAGAGCTCATGCACACCAGAGCTTCGGCTGCCTCCAAGTCGGTGTACTCCAGGCCAGATGAACAGCTGCCGGTTCCGCTAGAGACAGACTGTTCGCTGTCATGCCTTCTTCTCTTAACACAAGACCCAAAATGATCCATATGTTGTGTCTAAACAGGGGACATACAAACACATTTATGCCTTAAAACTCGAGCTGTATCAGGGCAGTCAGACCGTCCTGTGACTGAAAGTTTTGTGCCAAAAAAAAAAAACTGCACGATGCTACCAGTGGGACAAGAGGGGGTGTTGGCGGCTACACCCCACCCCAGCCCAGCCAAGCGTGCACTGCCTGTGGCCCAAAGCCAGGACACCTCCCATTCCCAAATATAGACCAAAGAGTGACGTGCAAGCCATGTGAAATCCCCCGTAAAGCGGGGTTTGCATCAGGAAGTAGTCTCGGTATGGTTACAAGTTTGGTATGCATTCTCACCAATTGTACAAAGTGTTCTACCAGTTCACCCAAGAAATCCGTGCATTTAAATGACAACTTTATATGCTTAAATTGTTCCTAAAATAGGTATTACTGCAATGTTAACGCACTTATTCGAATAAAATAACAAATAAACTATTAAAATATAAAAAATGCAACTGGTGTGGCTCAGTCAATGCTGAGATGAGGAAAATGTGATTCATAAACTTTAAATGTGAGAAACCGTCAGACTTTAGTGATCAGTAGTAAACAAGTAAACATTAAAATACAAATAAACGTTAAGCTACATTAAAATAGTTTATTATATTGTCTTACCTTGTATAAGTCCATGTCATTAATGTGTCGCGATAAAGACGACAGCATGTGAATCTCAGGTTTTAGTTGTCAAAGCCAGTGTAGAACAAAGAGACGGCGGTTTGCCAGAGCTTCTGCCTGCTGCAGGATAGAGCTGAGACCGTCTCCCTTTTTTCCTGACTGGCTCCCTTTTCTCTCAGCTGTGTGAGTAAAACACGGGGAGGAGAAAGGTAGGGAAAAAAAAACAAACCTCACACACGCATAGGCGGGTGGCAACACTCAGCCAATCACGACCGAGTGTGTGATGCGCTTCAGCCAGTGGGTGAGCAGAGAGCGCGTGAACAGTGCGTGCCCACCTGGCGGTTGGAGGAAACGGGGTGCGTGGCCGGCGGTGGGCGGGGCCTCGGAGTCAGCAGTGTCAGAGTGAACTCGGTGAACTGGCAGCAGCTAAACTAGGCGAAAGGTCGGGCGGGTGTACGCAGCGTTCAGAGAGCGCGTGCAGAATGACCTGGCTACGAGAACGTTATGTTAAGTAGGTCACGTAAAGGCACGAATCCCTACTGCGCTTTACGTAAAAGAACAGTCAATATCACAAATGCTGTATTTTGAGGACAAAAAGACACATTTTGATCTAAAATTATATTTGCTCATTCAAAGATGATCAAAATAGCATGAAAATAACAAAATGGTTAAATGGAATTTGAAACGCTTGCCATGTATTTAGCCTACTGCTGAATATTTTGGGTTGTAAAAATTAATTCTATGGCTCTTTACATTTTCACTACTGCATAAATCAGACTAACATATCTGCAACTCACTCATGAATGCATGTTAAATGTTTTTGTACTTGATATTGGGGGCATTATACTATTTCAAGAGATTTTAAAATATAATAAATGCATATAAATGTAATTATTGGACTGTAAGTGGCCCCTTGATGTTATACAAACAAACAAACAAACAAACAAACAAAAGAATACGTGATCAGGAAAAAATGCGTTTAGTGTTTTTTCAGCTGTTTTGTAATAGCTGTCTATTGTCCGAGAGTCAGTGAACGCAACACAAGGGTCAGACAAAGCGCGGGTAGTGTGTTGTTTTTCTTGTTAAAATGTGTTTATTTTGTTTTCTGTTTTGCAGTTCAACACCACAGCTACATTTTAGCAAGTCTCCCAGCTGCAAAATTATTTATTCTAGCCGTCTTATTGACTGCACTGGATTTCCAAAGCTTGTTTTATTACTGTTATATCTATCTTTGTGAATCCACCAATTACATTAAAATTAATAAAAAATATGCATTAGTCTGAATATCTGCTATCTGAAATAAAACGACAATTAAAGCCATAAATGATGCTTAAAGTTTTGTTATAAGTACAGAAAATATTATGCTTTCTTTTATTTTCTGAATGTGCTAAATAAAAAATTATGTAACAAGTAGATTTATTTTTTATTTTGACCATGAGCTTATGACCACAAACATGAGATTAAGATTGATCTTGACCAACATCAACTCAGTTGCTTGTGAACAAAGGTAAAAATTCACTTAGTTATTCTCATGTTGTTTTTATTAGTGCATATCTTTGATGTTTCACCTCCAATTTTTGGTTTTATTCATAAAGGACCTTGATTACACCTCATATCCGCCTTATTTATTAAACTGTTTGTCAGCAGCCTGCCTGAGACAGAGGGGAGTGTAGCAGGTGTGTTGTCCCAGCCCTGGCAGCGCCCGGCTGGTAAGGCAGGCCGTACCCAGGTATGACTCACATTAGCATGATCTCAGGGAGCTCTGATGGCTGTGAGCTGTGGCAGCGCAGTTTCTGTGCCAGCTGTTAGCGAGAAGTGAAGCGATGAGGGAGGAGCTACTGGGAAAAACCAGTTAGCTCTCAGGAATGAAAAGCAGTCGGGCCCAAGTACATCAGCCTGTTTGTGATATAAGTAGGGCAACCTTTTCAAATAGTTAGGGAATCTGGAGGAAAGGTTACGCTGGCTAGATTTGGGCTTTTGCACGCCCCCCCTCATCCAGTCAACTCCCCCAACTCAGGAGTGGGAGTGAAAAAGGGGGAGTTGTCTCAGTGAGGTTAAATATATCAGGATCTAAGGTACACCCCCTGATTTCTGACAGGCACTGAGTGTGCACAGATAAGACACATGAAGCACACCAGCTGCAATATTATTTTTGTGACTTTGTATCTATGGTCAATACAAAACAGGTTTATGAAGTGTTTTTGCACTAAATCCCTCTCATATATAGAGATTTCAGTGGTTTTATTCTTAACATTTCAGTACCTTCCAGAATGAGCCATTTCAGGGCTTCTCTTTGAGAAAACAAGCTTGACCTGGCCACGCCCACCCAACACTTACTCGGGCTACAATGAGGAGCCTCAGTCTCCTTCCTTTGCGGTTGGCTTATGGGTCCTTGGAAGAACGAAAAAATAAATGCAGGTCAACGGGGCTAAAAGAGCTATTTTCTAATCCGCTTTGCCTTACGCCCTCAATAGCACATGTGTTGTACTGCAATTTAAATGAAAAGTAATGATGGGTGTTTCGACCATGCCAGTCACGTACTTTGAGATTAATCAGCTTGTAAAAGTTCGATGTTAGCATGACTACACACCAGAAATTGGCAAGTGGTTTATGTGTCGTCACCACATATACTCTTCCCTAACGTAGCTGCAATTTAACAAATGGCCAGATTTATGGTGTCTCTTTCCTCCTGTGGGAAGTTCAGTTTTTTCTGTGTCTGGTTCAATGACGTCACTTTTGTGATGCACATTTGTAGTCCTAGGCTTATTTTAACACAAAACCTAAAATATTGTTCCCACCATTCGAAAATAAACATGTTCTTGGTTTCAAAATGTGTCTTGAAATTCACGGACATCTTATGTTAAATCCATGGCACAAAACAAGTGGAGTTAGAAAATAATGTTTTTAGCCCCGTTGACTTGCATTCATTTTTTCAATCTTCCGGGGACCAATGGTCCGGAAGTAGGCGTGACCTAGGCTTTCTATAAGGTGACAAGCTCCAATATCCGAGAGGGGCTTGAATGGCTGCTCCTCCAGCAGGGAGAGGTGAGAGGTAGTGTTTTTGTTATTTTTACAGTTTGTGACATCACAAACAGGGACTTATTGAAACAGCTCGTTTTAGGCACATCATTCCTAAAACCAAGCCCTAACAAAAAATGGATGAACAGATGTTTTTCAAGTTTAGAGTGTGGATAAAGGCTGTGTAGCCCCACACGGCTGTACAAAAAGATGCATTAAGTGAGAATGGCACAAAATGTCCCCCTGGAATGTTCATTTAGCAAAATCTGTGCAAATTTCCGCTTAAATATGATTCTTTCATTGCATTGCAGAAAAATGTTTTTTGTATATTCCTGCTTCAGAAAGTTAAACCAAACATGACTCTTAAACTCTAAATTTACTTACGGATTTTAAGCTGATGCAGTAAACATTTCTGAGCACACAAACGGTCAGAAAACAGTGTTGCTTTGATGCACTATCGCTGTAAACTGGCATCTGGGTGAAAGGTCATGGAAAGTCGGGACTCTAGAAAAACCTGCAAGGACCATTGAAGCTTTTAAAACTTGTTTTTGTGTCAGTTTTGCTATTAATCAGTTTATAAAGATGGAAATAAAGATGATTTTTAAGTTTTAATAATTAAATGTTCTTTCCCTGTAAACACAAATCAGGTGCAGTCTGAAAACATAGATCTTCACATGATAAAATATATTTATTTTGAATGAAATACAAAGTGTTTTATCAGAAAAACGATTGCAAATGAATAGTAAATCACCCAGTAAAATGTAACAAGTTAAATAGTGACAGATTGATCAAATGCTTTTGTTATTTGTCAGATTCCACCTTGGTAAATTATTAAACTTGATTTTGAAATGGCCAGAAAGTCTAATTAACTGTGTTTTGGCAATGCCATTTGAAACTTTTGCATTAGAGAAAACCTTAAAAACAAATCCAGAAAAGCCCGAGTCCATGCAGAAAACACAAATTTATTACTCAATTAAATGATTTAATCTTTATGCAATGTATGATGTTGTTCAAATTTCCCACAAAGTCAGTAAACACACAACAACATTCGTAACTTCATGCTGTAATTTCTTCATTCTGAAAATCCTCGATTTATTTTCTCGCAAGAAAACTGGAAAAAATAACATTTCAGTCAAAACTGCAGCAATTTCTCCTCTCGGTTGCTAAATTCCCACTCAGTGTTTTTAGAGGAAAAAGTGATGCAACACCAGGGTAAACATGAGCCCGCCGCAGATGTTTGAAACAAACTGTTCAAGATGTTCATGATCTGCAGCCTTTTCCATTTTAACACCAAATCTGAAGGATTTCTGGGAAACGAGAATTCACTAAGGTTGAAACCTACTTTTCATAAACGCATTTTTATGTAAAACATGTGGAGACCATCATCAAAATCAAGAAGCAACCATGTAAATGATCCTATTAATGACATTCTGCAGTTGCATGTTGGTTTTGTTCTATAATTTAAATGTTTTTTTCCCATAGCAAAATACATTTAATAATAGAATCTGTGCTACATAGTTTTCAGTCCGAGTACAAGCTGTGTCCTGAGCTGATGGATGCTTTTTGCACCACACAACACGTGACTCCGCCCACTTCTCCTCCTACACAGCAGAAAGGAGCAACAACAGGGATTTCTCATCACACACGTGGCCTCTGATTGGTCGGAGGCTGATGCTAAAGCTAATCTGTTGCTATGAGAGACTGATTTGTGTGCCTCTGGCTCGCTGTCTGTTGTCCTGGAAACATTAGAAACAGGAGGCAGGCCTCATAGCTCCCTGGAGGAGCTTTCCTGGAGATGGCCTGCCATTGTGTGAAGCCTAATGTTCAAGGCTCCATGGTATCATTAAAGGGTACACGTTGTATTATATCCTGTCTGGATGTGCCCCTGCAGGGTGGAAGGTGTTACCGTGCTTTAGTACACGCAGTTCCATTCATAGTCATTTATTGACTCCAGATTTAAGTCATTTTGGTGCCAATATAACAAAAGAGAATGAGATGTTTTATTATAGTGTCAATGAATTGAGCAGAAGTACTTCTATAAACATTCTTCTGACAATTAAACACATTTACAGGAAAATAAATCATTGAATTTAAATGAGGCCGAACCGATCATAACTTCTCTGCATTTATTTGAGGAAAATTTGTAAAATAAATGTTATTGTCAAAATAGCAGAGGATTATGGGGTCTGAGCAGATGGTAGACAACACTTGAATGCATCACAGAGAGGTAATGTTGGTTAAACTCTAAGTAAACGAGAGTTTTCCACCAGAACAGCCGTATTTTTTATAATCGTGTCTGTAAGCTAACAGCAACATAAATATGACAGGGTCAAATAATATAATGTACGAAGTCAAAGTCCTCATAATGGTGAAGGGTCTAACAGGCTAATGTTCTCTTGGCAATCATTTGAAAACAGTTTTGATTCCTGACAAACTTTTTAAGACCCTCCCACTGATGTTTCGTGACCCACAGTGGGGGCCCCCACCCCTACATTGGGGACCAGTGGACCAAAGCAGGTGTCTGCATCTTTTACTCTCCAAAGAGCCGTTTTCCACCTCTGTCTACTAGAATTGAGCAGCAATTTTTATACGACCTTTTGAAAAAAGACGATTTGTAAAAAAAGTTCTCTTTTTCCTCTGAAATCTGAGCAAAATGTCATAACTCTGAGATTAAAATGAACATTCTGTATTTTTTCTACAGTGTAAATATCTACTTTGACATCTGCTGTCATTTCTGAAAAACCACCATTCTGTTTCTATTTTTTGATTTTAAAATTAATAAATAAATACAATTTTAGGAAAATGACATTTCTACAAGTTGATATTTGCAGAAAATGATTACAAAAATTAAGAGATCTAAAAATATTAAAGAGAATTTTAGTATCATTCTGTTATGGAAATTCTTTGCAACTCTAACCCTAACTCTATCCCTGAATTTACCATTACACTCTACTTTTAAAACACAAGTTTTTTTTTTAAAATCATTTTCAGACAAGTTGTTAAGAGCCATTGTTGAAGACCATTTATGACTCCAGAGTAGAGATAGACCAATATTTACCATCTTTCTTAATATATTGCATCAGTTGATGTACCGCTTTAGTAGAATCAGTTTAAAACAAGACACGTGCTTGCCTTGTAATCAGAAGGTTGCAGGTTCAAGCCCCGCTCCGTCTGTCGCTGTCGTCGTGTCCTTGGGCAAGACACTTAACCCAGCTTGCCTGCTGGTGGTGTTCAGAGGGACCGGTGAGGCCTGTGTGTGGCAGACTCTTCTCTGTCAGTGTGCCCAAGGGAAGCTGTGGCTACAATGTGGTCCACCACCACCAGGGTGTAAATGTTCATGTGAATGGGTCAATTACTATGTTGTAAAGCACCTTGGGGGGTTCCAGGACTCTAAAATGTGCTTTATCAAATACAGGCCATTTACCATTATTGTTCATTTGTTTTTATTCACCAGTCATGTATGTACAGTATATGTTAGGGATGTGAGAAAATATCTTATCAATATATTGTGATATTTTTTCATGCATTATTATATCGATAGTCAACAGCTGTGTAGCAAATATTTGGAAGAATTGACATGCAAACTTTTGTGTATTTTCTTTTCTTTTGGCGCAATTCAAGCACCGACCACTAATTGGCAGCAGTGTGCAATGGGTTTTGTTTCCACCATTGAAATGTAAATCCCTCAATTATGGTTCAGATACCTCATGTTAAACATGCCACACATCAGTTTGACCTGTTTATCAAAATTTTCTACAATAAATTCAGTCTAAAAATGGCTAATAACGTCTGGCGGATTGTATCGCAATATATCATGATGTATCGTCTCCTCTGTATCGTGACAAGTATCGTATCGCCAGAATTTCACCTATACACTTCACTAGTGTATACACACACACACACACACACACACACACACACACACACACACACACATATATATATATATATCCATCCATCCATCCATTGTCTGAACCCGCTTGTCTATGTAGGGTCAAGGGGGGGCTGGTGCCTATTTCCAGGCAGCGGGGTACACCCTGGACAAAGTGGCAGTCCATCGCAGGGCCACACAGAGACACACAGGACAAACAATCATGCACACACACACACTCACACCTAAGGACAATTTAGACAGACAGACCAATCAACCTAACAGTCATGTTTTTGACATGTGGGAGGAAACCCCCCCCCACTTGCACAGGGAGAACATGCAAACTCAATGCAGAAAGATCCCAGGAAGATCCCAGGCCGGGAAGCGAACCCAGGACCTTCTTGTTGCAAGGCAACAGCTCTAACCAATGTGCCACTGCGCAGCCCATATATATATATATATATATATATATATATATATATATATATATATATATATATATATATATATATATATATATATATATATATATATGTGTGTGTATGTATATGTATGTATGTGTGTATATATATATATATATATATATATATATATATATATATATATATATATATATATATATATATACACACACATACGTATACATACATATATATATATATATGTATGTATGTGTATGTATATGTATGTATGTGTGTGTGTATATATATATATATATATATATATATGTGTGTGTGTGTGTGTGTGTGTGTGTGTGTATATACATACAATTGTTTTCGTTTTTGAATAACTGTGGTTAAGTGTTTGATTGTAATACAGCGCACAAAATAAAAATTGGTTGGATCAGTTTTCAAAAACTGATTCTTGTTCACATTGTTTTGCATTTACTGTTTAGTGACATTTACCACATGCCTCTCTGGATCTTTCTGCAAAACTATTGTTGCAAACATTAAAATCTAAGCTCAGTGGTACTGCTTGCATTCATTTTTGCAGCAACTGATAGTCAAATACAGGTGCTGGCCAGTAAATTAGAATATCATCAAAAGGTTGAAAATATTTCAGTAATTCCATTCAAAACGTGAAACTTGTACATTATATTCATGCAATGCACACAGACCAATGTATTTCCAATGTTCATTACATTTAAATTTGATATTCATAAGTGACAACTAATGAAAACTCCAAATTTGGTATCTCAAAAAATTAGAATATTCTGAAAAGGCTGAATATAGAAGACACCTGCTGCCACTCTAATCAGCTGATTTACTCAAAACACCTGCAAAGGCCTTTAAAAGGTCCCTCAGTCTTGTTTTGAAGGCACCACAATCATGGGGAAGACATCTGACTTAACAGCTGTCCAAAAGACAATCATTGACACCTTGCACAAGGAGGGCAAGACACAAAAGGTGATTGCTAAAGAAGCTGGCTGTTCGCAGAGCTCTGTGTCCAAGCACATTAACAGACAGGCGAAGGGACGGAAACAATGTGGTAGAAAAAAGTGTACAAGCTCTAGGGATAACCGCACCCTGCAGAGAATTGTGACGACAAACCCATTCAAAAATGTGGGGGAGATCCACAAAGAGTGGACTGCAGCTGGAGTCAGCGCTTCAAGAACCACCACGAGGAGACTCATGAAAGACATGGGATTCAGGTGTCGCATTCCGTGTGTCAAGCCACTCTTGAACAAGAAACAGCGCAAGAAGCGTCTCGCCTGGGCCAAGGACAAAAAGGACTGGACTGATGCTGAGTGGTCCAAAGTTATGTTTTCTGATGAAAGCAAGTTCTGCATTTCCTTTGGAAATCAAGGACCCAGAGTCTGGAGGAAGAGCGGAGAAGCACAGAATCCACGTTGCATGAGGTCCAGTGTAAAGTTTCCACCGTCAGTGATGGTGTGGGGTGCCATGTCATCTGCCGGTGTTGGCCCACTCTGTTTCCTGAGGTCCAGGGTCAATGCAGCCGTCTACCAGGAAGTTTTAGAGCACTTCATGCTTCCTGCTGCTGACCAACTTTATGGGGATGCAGACTTCACCTTTCAACAGGACTTGGCACCTGCACACAGTGCCAAAACCACCAGCACCTGGTTCAAGGACCATGGTATCCCTGTCCTTGATTGGCCAGCAAACTCGCCTGACCTTAACCCCATAGAAAATCTATGGGGTATTGTGAAGCGGAGGATGCAATACGCTAGACCCAACAATGCAGAGGAGCTGAAGACGACTATCAGAGCAACCTGGGCTCTCATAACACCTGAGCAGTGCCACAGACTGATCGAGTCCATGCCACGCCGCATTACTGCAGTTATTGAGGCAAAAGGAGCCCCGACTAAGTATTGAGTGCTATACATGCACATTCTTTTCATGTTCATTCTTTTCAGTTGGCCAACATTAGAGAAACAAACATTTTTTCATTGGCCTTTAGAATATTCTAATTTTCTGAGATACCAGATTTGATGTTTTCATTGGTTGTCACCTATAAATATCAAATTTAAATGTAATGAACATTGGAAATACATTGGTCTGTGTGCATTGCATGAATATAATGTACAAGTTTCACGTTTTGAATGGAATTACTGAAATATTTTCAACCTTTTGATGATATTCTAATTTACTGGCCAGCACCTGTATACTGAAAGGCTGTGCTCATTTCCTCTTTGCTGTGATGTCCAGAAATCTGCTCCTGCAGAAAGAAACACTTCGTTCATGCATGAGATCAGCTGCAGGCAAATATATTAGCTAAATAAGAAACTTAAAAGACAACATCTGACATGAAAAACTAAGTTTCTGATCATACACATGAGTGACGCTTTATTGAGCACTTTCATCCTAGATGTGATGTTAGAATAACTTCAAACATACATTTTAATATAGTATTAGAAAGTTCGTTACATATTCAGAGACCCATATCCTTTATGGTAATAAATATATACACAATAAGAGATACAAAAGGGGGTGGGATGATAGGAATCCATTTCCAGTGAATATTTACATCAAATAAAAAAAATGGTTCAGCAGGATTGTTTATGGCAGACAGAACAAACCAACTTGTGAGTGTGCCTGAGCGGTAATTATTGCACTGCAGGGACTTCATGCACAGTCCTGGATGTTCACGGAGCTAGCCTAACATTCACACAACAAAAACAAAAACCGGTGGCCATTTTCACCAACAACAAACATTTAATACTTACAAAGAGCATCTTAGTTTAATGTATACTTAGTTTTCTAAAAGAAAGAACACATGATGTTCAATTTAACTGCATCACAGGCTTAAAACACACATTTATACAGTATTTTACCACCAATACTGCCATACTGTTTAGTATTAACACACAGAACCCACAAGGCTCCATTAGCAATTCACCATCATCTTTTTTGAGTGCGAAATATTCCATGTTGCAGACTGCAAGCATCAGTGCTATGGCTTTATAGAGGAAAAAAGTGTTCATTTTTCTAAATAAAATTCTGACCTATGAATAAAGATGCAGCTTGAGGTAAAGCAGCTCCACGACTGCCCTGCAACCCTGAATTTGCAAAAGAAGGCAACAACATCCGAGTTACAGCTCATAATTTCACTAAACACAAAAATACATCCTTGTTTGTCAGCTTCTGTGCACAGAAAAGTAGCTTTACATTTAAAGACATGTATAACTTACATCGCAAAGTTATTTTTTTAAAAGCTCTGACTTTGACCTAATTTTTGGACTTTCTGAGGACTTTTTTTGACACCATACAGCAGATTACTTAAGTTTCAGACCAAGTCCACCATCACAAGTGTAAACCTGACAGATCCAGTTGTTTTGCATCACTGCTTGGATCCTCCAATCAGATCTCAGTGAGGGTCAGTTTGTAAATACCACCAAGCTCCTCCATGCTGATCTGGAAGGTGTCCTCGTTGGAGTAATGCTTGATGATGTTGTCGTCCATGTGAACTAGAATACTGATGACAAACAAGCAGGCCATGAGAATCCTCCACAAAACAACAAAAACAACAACAACAATAATTAATAAAATTTCTAAAAGACTGATTTAAACCTTTATCCCGTTTAATCATTCACAGAACTTAATTGAAACCAACAAAAGAAAAAATTCTAAACACACAAAAAAGAAATGAGAAAAATAAATAAATTAATAAATAAAACATTACCTTCTATTATTATCACTTATTTTAAATAGTTAAAAAACAGCTGTTGATTTTCTAGTAATAGTATTTTATATTTAAACACTTATTGACCCCAAGAAACAGAAATTTTACTACATTTTTAATCGATTACCCTGAATTATTATAATTATTTATTTCAAATTACTTTTTAAACCAACAAAAAAATTTTCTTACACTGTAAACCCTAAAGTTCTAAATGATCAAATATATTGAGTAGATAAAACTCATAATTTAAAAAACAGTTTTTAGAACTCAAATGTGTTGAGCTTGTTCAACATTTTTCTTGTTTTAAGTACATAGAACTCAAACGTTTTAATGAATCTGAACTATTTCTTTTTTTTAAGTAAACATAACTTAATTTTAATGAGTAATATTAACCAAAGAAAGATCGATTTATTATGTTATGTTTCTATATTATTCCATTCATCTTTACGTCAACCCTAAAGTGTGTCTGATAAACAGACTTGTATATTATTTTAAATATTTGTGGATTTACAAGAAAAACAACCACAAACTAGCAATTGTGTTGGATTTCAGGAACAATAAACAACTGGTGGGCGTGGTGCATTGTGGGTAGTCATATTTTCAGTTATTTTGCTCTATTTTGGGGTGTTTATGCATGTTTATTGTGGATGATTGTTGTTCTCAGTTATTATTTCGTTCAGCGTTGCAGATGTGATGTTACTTTTTGTATCACGTTGGCACCATAAGTGAGGAGGTTGGTCAAAGTAATGCTGTACGGCTGTGCTGTCCCATTGTTATTAATACTGTGGTTGTTCACACCAGATACTCTTGACTTGACTTTGAGTGTTCCACTTTTATTGGCTGTTAGCATCTAGGGGTGTGTGATTCATGATCTGGTGTTAATTACTGCCTTGACCAGCCTGCCACATTGTCACTTTTAAGTAAATTCAGCTTATTTGGGTTAGGGTTTAATAGGTCCATTTAGAGTTCGTATAAGTTATATTATTAAGTTAGTAAAAACATGAAATAAAGTTCAATCAAAATGAAATATGCAAGTTTAGTGAAATAAAGTTTGTAAGTTGCTTACGTGCTAAGTTATAGGTTGGATGTAGTTAAATGCTTTGATTTTATTCAGGTCATATTTTTTAAATTATGGTTAACTTATAGTTTTTAGATAAGTTAACTTAAAAATTATTAGGTAATCAGTTTCCTCATGAATTTTGAGTTCAGTGAACTTATTCGAGGTTACAGTGTACAGTTGAACTTTTGAGTTGAGTGGATGAGCAATTTTAATTTAATAAACTTCAAATGTATGAGTAAAATTTATTAAGAAATTTTATTTATGAAAACTTAAAATTTTCAGTATCAAAACTCAAAAAAATTGAGGCAATTGATTGCCTCAAAATTTTTGAGTTCTGGGAACTTATTCGGGTTTACAGTGTAGTATCAGATTAATTACTTCAATAAAATGTTTAAATATAAACACACACACAAAAATAAAATTGGTGGATATTTCAAAAATATCTTTTACAAGCTATGACATAGATTTTTTATTATTAATATTTATTAAAATAATTTTTATATATAATAATAATATTCATCATCATCATAATCATAATAATTATTATATTTTAACTCAAACTGACCAAAAGTCAACAAATTGTTAAATAAATAAAATCTTGTGGCCAATAACAAGAAAAAATCTTTTTGACATAAAAGTTAAGTTCAAAATAAAAACCTTTGAGCTTGGTTTATTTCAGAAAGTTGAATTATTAAAACATCGGATACACTTTTCTTATATTTATTAATGTTTTCCTGCACAGATTAAGAAGTTGGAGCTCACCCTTTCTTGCACTTCTTGTAGACCTTTCCAACCTTCTCCAGAGGCAGCTCATACTTCTCTGAAATCTGGTTTGGAAAACAAAAACATATGTCAGTGTTAAATTCGCACGCGCGCACACACACACATGCGCGCACGCACACACACAGAACACGACTCCTGTAATCATATGTTTCAATCTGAAGTGACAGCTTTGCCTTTTAGACACCAGAACTTCCCTGTTCCCTCACAAGAAGCTTCTATCCCAAAAATAAACAATAGAAAGTACAGGAACAAAATGTCTGAGATGGACTCACAGCTTCCACCAGGCCTTGCAGCGTGGGATTCTTCAGCATGAGGGCATCAAACACCTCCTCAGTTTCCTTGCGCACGTACAGAAGGACTATGAGACATGAGAGAAGAGGCAAGCAGACGTCATAAAGTAGTCATTACGTTTAATGACCGGGTTCTAAAATTTCAGGGCTTACTGGAACCAAAAACAATGAAAACACTTGAACATAGAGATACTCAAATCAGCTTTAGCTGTTGGATTGGCTCTGCACTTTTACAGCCCGGTGCAGAACATCTCTGTCACTCACTGATTTACTGGTTTAACAGGTTCCTCTATTTTTAAATCCCAGTTTTGTCTGTTGTTGCAAAATGTGTACCACAGGTGAAAAGGAACCATCAATCATTTTATACTATGACAAATAAGAGCTTATTTGTTCTGATTGCACCTTAAACTGGTTACCAGTAAACTACAGAATGGATTTAAAAGTGTTTCTACTACCCCTCCCTGGGCTGCTACCTTACCACGGTGGAGGGGTTTGAGTGTCCCAACAATCTTAGGAGCTCAGTTGTCTAAGGCTTTATGCCTCTGATAGGGTCGCCCATGGCAAACAGGTAGGTGAGGGATCAGACAAAGTGCAGCACACCTTTGCGGTCTGATCTTCGGACTCACCTTGACAAACAGCTCTGGCTCCAGAACCATTTACCTTGAGAGGGGCTGGACACTCTTCCACTCTGGAGTTGCCCCCACTGAGAGGCGTCGAGCAGGGGTGAGCATATTAGTTGTCCCCCATCTTGGTGCCTGTACGTTGGGGTTTACCCCAGGGAACGAGAGGGTAGCCTCCCTCCGCCGACGTGTGGGGACGGGTCCAGACGGTTGTCTGAGCTTATGCACCAAACTACAGTTCAGATTACCCATCCTTTTTATGAGTCCTTGGAGGGGAGGGGAGGGGGGGGGAGGGGGGAGGGGGGGGGGGGGCTTGGAGAGTGCTCCTTCCGGTGACTCCCTTGTTCTGCTAGGGGAATTTAATGCCCACGGGAACAATGACAGTGAGATCTGGAGAGGTGTGGTTGGGAGGAACGACCTCCTGATCTGAATTTGAGCGGTGTTTTATTATTGGATTTATGTGCTCGTCATAGATCGTCCATAATGAACATGTTCAGGCATAAAAGTGTCCATGTGCTCTTGGCACAAGGATACCTTAGGCTGCAGCTTGATGATCGACTTTTTTGTCATCTCATCTGATCTGCGGCTGCATGTCTTGGACGCTCTGGTGAAGAACTGACCACTACCTGGTGGCGAGTTGGCGAGTTGGCTTCGATGGTGGGGTAAGATACCGGTCAGAACTGGAAAGCCAAAAAGTATTGTGAGGGTCTGCTGGGAACGTCTGGCGGAGCCTCCAGTCAGAAGAAGTTTCACTTCCCACCTCCGACAGAACTTCCAAAATTTTCCAGGGGAGGTGGGGGACATTGAGTCTGAGTGGGCCATGTCCCGTGCTTCCATTGTTGAGGCGGCCGACTGGAGCTACGGCCGCAGGGTGGCAACCCCCAAACCCGCTGGTGAACACGAATGGTTATGGACGCCATCAAGCTGAAGAAAGAGTCCTATCGGGTCCTTTAGGCCTGTCGGACTCCAGAGGCAGCTGATAGATACCGGCATGCCAAGCGAAATGCGGCTCGGGTGGTCGCGGAGGCAAATTCCCGGGCACGGGGGGAGTTTGGTCCACCATCCGGCGCCTCAGGAGGGGGAGTATAGGGTTCCAGGCCCTCTGAAAGGGCTGTTAGGTCCCTATATGACCGGTGTCTGAGCTTGGTCCGCATTGCCGGCAGTAAGTCGGGCTCGTTTCCGGTGAGAGTTGGACTTCCCCAAAACTGCTCTTTGTCTCCGATTCTGGAGTGGTCCGCAGCCGAGTGTGAAGCAGCTGGGATGAGAATAAGCTCCTCTAAATCCGAGACCATGATCTTGTGTCAGAAAAGGGTAGAATGCCTTCTTCGGGTCAGAGGATGAGGTCCTGCCTCAAGTGAAGGAGTTTAAGTATCTCGGAGTCTTGTTCACGAGTGAGGGAAAGATGGAACGCGAGATTGACTGGCAGACTGGTGCTGCATCTGCATCTCAATTTACCAGTCGATCTACATTCCTACCCTCACCTGTGGTCACGAGCTTTGGTTAGAGACCAAAAGAATAAGATTGCAGATTCAAGCGGCTGAAATCAGTTTTCTCTGCAGAGTGGCTGGGCTCTCCCTTAGAGAAAGGGTGAGAAGCTCTGTCATCCTGGAGGGGTTCGGAGTAGACCCGCTGCTCCTCCACATCAAGAAGAGCCAGTTGAGGTGGCTCGGGCATCTAGTTAGGATGTCTCCTGGACGACTCTCTAGTGAGGTTTTCCAGGCACGTCCAACCAGGAGAAGACCATGCTGGAGGGACTGTGTTTCTCGGCTGGCCAGTGAACGCCTTAGGATTCCCCCAGATGAGTTGGCCCAAGTGGCTGGGGAGAGGGAAGTCTGAGCCTCCCTGCTTAGGCTAGTTGCTCCGCGACCCGAATCCGGATGAGCGGCCAAAAATGGATGGATGAATGAGTGCTCCTCCTAGTTTATAAATCATTCAATGGAATGGGGCCAAAATACACGACAGACCTCCTCCCTGTATATACGGCCCTGAGATCTTTATGAATCAGTTTCCTTATGACCTCAAATCTGCCCCAATTCTAGTAACTTTTAAATCAGAACTGAAAACTTTCATTTATTCATTAACCTTTGAATGCACGTTTCTTATGCTGCACCTACTGCATTGTAACTGCTGACCCTTTTGTCTTTTTATTGATTATTAAATCAGAAATTAGTTAGTGTGTTTAATTTGATCTATGTTCATTTGTGTATTTTTATTGTGCTGTCACGTTATTTTAATGATCGTGCCATTCTCACTAGTGGAAAACACAGAAAATTGCCTCGGTGTCTGAAATGTGCTGTATGGATCAGGTTATCAGGTTCAATTAGCTCTCTGTACGGATCGGAGTTAATGCTAAAAATGCTTCAAAACTCAGATTTTCCTTCAGTCATTAACAACTGTTTAAAAATATGTGTGTGAACATTTTGTAGTGGACAAACCGGTTAGAACCCCACTGCTGACTGATTATAAATAGGATGTAGGGAAAAGGGCAAACTCTTATTTCCTCATACGTGTTCACGGAGTGAGCCATGATGTTTGTCGAGGCACTTCAGGCCTCGAGCACGCGCAAGCGTTTTGAAAGACCTAGAACGATCACATGGTCATTGGTACATGTACGTGGGAGGCAGTGTGTGTGTGTGTGTGTGTGTGTGTGTGTGTGTGTGTGTGTGTGAGTGTGTGTGTGGACTTCAGAGGCAGACCGTAGCAAACACAGACACGCATGTGCAAACACTTTACCGCATCGATTTCACCCCAAAAGAAAACAGAGCATCCCCCCGGAGCCCTTTACCCTACATCAACACACATGCATCACCTTTCTTGGGCTCGTCCACTCGCGCCACCTTGTTCGGGGGTGAACCAAACTCATCATCGCTGAAGGGTAATCTCCTCATACTTGAGCTGCAGCGGGAACACACAAGATAACTGATTAGAGGGCTGTAGCCACCACATTTCCAGGCCATAAACCTAAACTTAAAACCCACAAGGCTTTTCCTAGAAACAGCAAAATGCACACACGTGTATCCATTTACTGAGAAGGGGTCAAAGGTAGGCTCGGTTCGAAACTACTGTAAAGAAAATGGTGAAAACACCTCACCTGTCTTCTCCCTCCTCTGTTGTGAAAGCCTGCAAGAAGAAACACAATCACACGGATCAGTTTTATGGTTAAAAACTTGATAATAGTCACAGCTGATGGTTTCTGCCATTAGAACGGTTGAGTAAATACTGCATCTATACGCCTTCTGTCGCCGGAAAATCAGTCGACTCGATCAAAGGAAAAGTAAACGGCCAAGTCCAAATGCTTTCCGGTGTTGACCCATTTACGTTTTGTCAACGTTGGCTGCAAACAATACATATGTGCATATTTATACAGAGGAAAGCATATGATCCTGAAAGGAGAGTAAAGTTCACACCTGAATCCTGCTTTCATATTTTTAAAATAAAACATTTTTAGACATTTGATTATAAAAGCTAGAGATCAACTGATATAGATTTTTCTATTGCTGATATAGAGGTCAACGGATTTTTTGGGCCAATTTTTTGGACGTATTGGTGGATTTATTTAGCAATGACGTAAATATACATTTAAATCACATCTGGCACCAGGCTGCTATGGATGTGCCCATTTGTAAAACAGCTCTACTAAAGAGGTACATACAAAAAAATGGTATCAGCCCACTGAAATATCGGTTTATTTCTAGCAAAAACTGAAAAAGTTCATGTAAGAAGGGAGAGGGAAGCTCTAAAAAGAGCGCTACGAGTGAAAATGCATCAAAAAATATTTTAGAACCTGCAAATTGTCCCTAGACTCATTAAATGGGTTAAAACAATCAGATTATAGTGGAATACAGTTAGAAAACTGATTGAGAGGATGTAACCAGTTTCAAATACTGGATTGAAGAAATCTAATTAATTATCAATCCTTCTTTTTTTATTCCTGGAAACATGCAGCGATTCTGCTCTGTGGCGTTATTGATCTATGGCTGATAGCAGATTTCTATTCTGGGAGCAAAGTCAGTGAACTCGTCTTATCGGGGTCTGATTGCACAGCCTAAATCAAGTTCAGCCTCGCTGAAATCACAAAAAATAACTCTCTGTACTTCGGTCACCTACAAAAGTAAACTTTAAAACCAGGGGGGAAAATATTTGCCGATTGGACTCAGCTCATGATGTTCATTGTGTGAACAGCAGGGGGCAGTCACACTGCATCAATTAGCCGCGCAACTGCAATTATTAAAGAAAACAGTTTAAATATTTTGTGTTCTGCGTGTACAGGATGGGCGTTTATTCATGCATGCATGCACGCAGGTACACACACACACACACACACACACACACACACACACACACACACACACACACACACACACACACACACACACACACACACACACACACACACACACACACGCACACACACACACGCACACACACTGGGGATGTATTGCAGCTGTTTGAAGCTGATAACCTCACATTCATTCCCGCAGCTTTCCTGTATTTTCGGTTCTTTTCTTCCGCTGCACACATAAATCAATAAGAAAGCTGCTCCGCCGTTTAAAGTGTGCCCTCGTCTTCTCCGAGCATACGAACACATGATTTAAGGTAGGATAACTATTGGGCTTTAGTTTTGTTCTACTCCTGGTTTGTTTTGAGTCACTGGTGAATGATTCATGGTGTGAGTAAGCATTCTGAAACTCTGCCATCAGCATAGGCCTATCAAAGCTGGAAATCAGAACTATCTGTTCCTGCCAACAAGCAAGCAGGCAGGTCACCTCAACCCAGCTGGTAGATGGGTGGGAGGGAGATGAAAAACAAACTGTTTATGGACCACCATCCTCGCTGCATGACCGTACCATCAGGATCATGCTCATGTTTGGAGAAAAAGGCAATAAAAGGAAGCGGGTTTATTGTATGCTGGTTTAAACACTCACATGGCGCTGGAAGTTCGAGAAGTGGATGTCAGGGATGAAGAGGACCGGCTGGGTCTCAAGGTCGGACATCGTTTTGAAGATGGTCACATCGTTTCGCTTCTGGAGGAGGGGGACTTTCACGTCTGGAACTGCAAGAAAAACTCTTTAGCAATAATTTATCAACAGTTCCAGCTGGGTTTTATTATGGAAACTTTTATTATTCACATTGCTTTTTATAAAAAGAAATGACTGATTTATTTTATTTTATTTACTTTATGGCACTGACAGCACTCAGGTAGGTGGAGGTAGTTTGAAATGTGATAAATATGCTGCTGAGTCCCTCTGTTGGCTGATCTGGAGCCGTTAAGTCTCCATTCACTGGACCTTGTTTGAAAATTACAAACTAACCTTAAAAAAACCTACCTGAAACTATTGAGCAAAACAACTTTTTTTAAATTATATTTGATTCTATTTTATTCTATTTTTAATCTTATTATTCATGTTATATGTAGCACATTAGTACCGAAGCAAGTTCCTAGTTTGTGAATTGTTTGTTCACTGACAATGGTAATAAACCTATTCTGATTCTGAACTTCAAAAAGATCAAAGCAAATAAATTTGGAGTGATTTTAAAGGGATACCATACTTTTCTGATTTTTAAACTGTTTTCTTAAGCCAGTATGTGCTAAAACGACCCTTTACTGGGTTAATGAAATGTTACTCAGACCCCACCGCCCTTTAGCCAGAATACCACACTTGCAACTTCTGACTTTCTGGTCCGTTCACTGTTGGACTTAATAAAAGTGGAGCTAACATGCTGGCGCTGGAGTCTGCTTCGAGCATGTTTCCTGCATGTTTTAGATCAAGAACACAGCTGATTTGTTTGATTTAGTAATTAACCGCTCCTGTAGACACTAATGAAGGCTGAGGAGACGTTTCAGCCGTTAGATTAAGGTGTTAAAATGACGAAAGCACAGCAGTAAAGCAGCCAAAACTGCGTAGTATCCCTTAAAATTTTTCACAGTCCTGCAGATATTCTGAAGATAAGAACACACATGCAGAGAGGAACACAGTAGCTTGAGTCTGCAGGTTTATTCACATTAAAAAAACGGGACTCACACTGAAGGCTAGGGTTGAGATCCAACACCTTCCCTTTCCGGCGGGACTGTTTCCTCTCCTCATCCCGGATCTTCCTCTCCGCCCCCTTGTCACAGAACACTTTGATCTGGCAGTAAGCGCGGTGGATGGGTTTGTTGCTGCGGTTGTTGTAACTATAAGTGTCGATCTGCAGGTTTAGGGGAAGGCCCTTCACCCCCTTCTGAGAGGAGAAGTCTGTGCTCAGACAGTTCACAGAAATGAAGATCTGTGGAGAAACATGATGGACGGTCAGACAAACGAGTGACGAATGAACTGAATTCACAAAATTAACCTTTAAAACTAAAGTTTTTGTCCTTAGGTTAGATTTGGGCCTTCAGCATTCAAGCGTTCTGTGCTGCTCTCTGGTGGTCAACTGGAGCAACGACATGTTCATTTCATATTCCTTTGTCCTGTTTTTACTGCAACCAGGTTCTCATTGTGTCAACAAAATCCACAACAGAAGGTCAAAAAACACCTGACAGGGGGAATCCAAGGAGTCAGCAGCTGACTTTACTCATATTTTATATTTATTCAATAAAATAAATTTGTATATCTTGTACTTTTTATTCATAAAGCAGTAAAATAAGATTTAGAAGCATTACAATAATCAAATTTACTTTTAAAACTCTTTAATGTTTTAAAATAATTTTAAATTATCATTAAAGAACATAAAACAGTTTTTTCAGGTTTGTTTGAATGTTTTTTTTAAATTCTTTAGGTTAAAAACTCCCACAACGTACATAAAGGCAATGCAAAACACGCAGCAGGGGCTGCTGTTTGCTAAATTACCATCAATACATAGATGATATATTTATTTAACCCCCTCAGGGCAAACACGCACCTCCTCATGTAGAAGGCTGTGCGTCTCATCTTACTTCACCACATTAAAAGTCACCTTAAACCTACAGATATCTAAAAAAAAAAAAAAAGAATCATCTAGAACAGTTAAAACCTTCTAGGACAACACATCTTCATCTGAAACCAAATATCGTACCGAGGTGATGTTTCAAAAGAAAAGCAGACAGCGAGGTGGTTACACACTGGATGAAGTGTCAAAAACAAACAAGGATGAACATCCTTTAAGTGGATGCTTCGAGTCAACATCCTGGATCGTGCAGAAAAAGATACGTGCATGTGACTTTATTTTTGTCAAGTGTTTGCAGCCAAGAGCTGCAGATGGTGCAACTGTCTGTTAGGTGGATAATTATCATAAAGATCCACAATGAAGCTTTTCTCTTCAGACAAATGCCACAGAAAAGCTGCAGCAGGGATTTGAACCTGCACCCTTCTCCCAACTGCACCGCCGTGCATTATGAGGCATGTGCTAACCAACTGATTTTAAAGTCCTGGATTTATCCATTCAGTCAGAATTAAGATTAAAAAGTTAATATTTGCATTTTTGTTTCAGAAAGTGATCAAAAATAAAATGATCTGGGTTGTTTTTGTGAACGTGTGTTTTTCTTACTTTTGCCTCTTCGTTTGTGTCCCAGGTGAAGGAAATGGCGTTATAGGAAATCTCCTCAATGTTGCCGATGGTGTTGAAGCTCTCCTTGTAGTCAGCTGAAACACACACGCATCCATAGCATCATTAACATTCAGCAAAATGATATTAAACATTAGACAGCAGAGCCAAACAGTGGCTACATTTGAAAATAAATCTAAATTATTTCCACCTTCTGATGGGAATTTAGATTAAAAAGGATTTTGAGCGACTCAAAACACTTGTTTTTAAACCAAAACTGGAATTTGAGCCCCTTACAGCCCTGTAATCATCCCTTACTGGTAGAACGGAGCTCCAACAATAAAACAACTCCCCTTTTCCTGCTTTGCTTCCTTTTTGTTCAAAATAAAACTTTATTCTGGAGTTTCTGATGACAAAAGCAGAGGTTGTGGACCTCACCGATGTCGAGGCACCTCTGTTTAGCCGTGTGCTGCCTGGAGTGCCAGTACTTCCAGTGTTTCAGCTGATCATCTCTGCACTTTTCTTCCCCAAACACCACCATCACCACACTCTGTCAAAAACACCATAAAACAGATTCCTGTCAGCTAACGAAGAGAATTAGACAACCAAATCCTAGTTCTGCGGCGTTTCGTTGGCTTTTCTTACCCTGACTTTGGTGATGGGTTGCTGGATGCCTTTGTTGTCGACTTCCCTGAGGGTGATCGGGTAAAACTGTCCCTTGTTGAGGTACGTCATCGTCCCGTCGCCCGTTTTCTGACGCAGAGACTTTGACGCCTCAAGGGAGTACTCAAAATTACTCCTAAAAGTGCAGATGAACAAAAAAAAAACATGCAGAAAAATCAAGAAAAGACTCTTTTTCTCTTTATTGAAACAAAGCAGTTGTCCGCTGTCTCCTCTGAGACAGACATGAACGAGGCCTTTCAGCAGGGAGGTGTTGGGACCTGAATGGCGGTGTGGAGTTGTGTCCGCAGCGGCGTGACTTACCCCGGCGCTGTGCCAAACTGATTGTAGTCCTCAGGCGTCATGGAGGCCATTCGTAACTGGAGATCTCCCGGGAAGGAAAACATCTGCAACGCACAAAGAAAAGGGATATTTATAGTGTGTGGAGCAAAAGGGGGACACATGAGACAAAAAATAATAATAATAACAGATTTAGTATATTTATTTCTTATGGCAGTTTCTGTTTGCTTCACATGATTAAAAATGGCTTCCGTGCAACCCCTCCTCCTGTGTTCAGCGCTGTTGGGTTACTCTAAAGGTAATTCCCCTCCAGGATAAAAACAGAAAGAGGAGGGAGGAAAGACTTTGGCTATTGTACGAGAAAAGTACAGCACTTTATTGTGTTGGTGAGACAATGGCATAATAACACACTGGCCACTATTTTGGCATGTTCAAATAAAACCAGGGAAGGCTGAGCCCACCGCTGGCTCCATGGGATCAGGTGAATATCCCATTGTCTGATGGGAAAGATCCCAGCGGGGGGGTGGGGGGGGGGTGGGGGGGGGGGTGGGGGTGGCTCCGCACTGAGACCATTAGCAGAGTTTAGAAAGGAGGCAAAAGGAAACGCTCACCTCCTGGGAACCGTCCTTGAATCCCTCTGAGAAGGTGGAGTCCGGTGGCGTGCGGGACTGGGCGCCGGGGCTGCACTGGACCGCGCTGGGGGTGAGGTGGCGGTTGAAGACACCAACATGGCCGTCAGTTTCGTTGCAGTTGTTTGGCACGGTCACAGAGAAACCGTGGGTGGGCACTTCTGTCTTGACCGGGTAGTTTGGCACTGTGGCGATTGAAACGGTGACAGTCGTATCTGAACGAACAAAAATCAGTGGACTAAGAACCAGTTTCTGGTTTTCGATCTGGATTTATTTATTTATTTAATTTATTTATTTTTATGTATGTATGTATGTATGCATGTTGCTGATCACGAACAAACCTGGTGAAGGGAAGTGCGTCCTCTTGTCCTGCGTCAGGTGGATATTGACGGGTGTCTTGAGGACCTGGATCCTGTTCTCCATACTGGCTTCCTGGAGGGGAACTATGGGATGTCTGGGCTGGATCTGGAGCCTGAAACGCAGAAAGTGTAGACTACATCAGGGAAACCAGCCCAAAGTAAATACTACCCGTTTCATAGCATGACATCATATTTATTCACAAATGCCAAGTTTTATTACAGATGCACCGATTCTGGGTTTATGGGTAGATACAGATTTATTTAGAAAAACTATAAAAAACAGGATACTTTTTTGTCGTTTATAACCCTTAAAATTATGATGCTGCAAGTAAAAACTTATACATTATTTTTTAACTACTACTTGGTTTGTTTACAATTGAAAAAATAAAAGGTACATAAAGGTGCTCTGAATTTTCAATCGGAATCTCCAACTGATTTAGTAAAAGCGGGACTTTATTTGGTTTGGGGCCTGAGATTTAAGACCTGAGATGTTTCCAACACATCTGCAGTGGTGTCTACAAATTAATACCTTGTGATTCAGTTTCTATGAAAAAAAAAAGCTCTGGCGCTCTTGTTTCAGGAAATATAAGTTAGCAGGTCAAGAATGGAGCAAAAGATGGCAGGATTTGGTGTCCTATTTCCTGATATTCGGACTTCTTTGATTGGCTAACAGCAACACGACTCTACCACTGACTGTTTGCTTTGCAACCTTGATGTTTGATCTCCACAAATAACACAAGCCTGGAGGAGTTCTGCCGTGTGGTGAAGTTGTTAGTGCTAACAGTTAGCTTCTACTAGCATCTCTACGGGATGCTAGTGCCAAAGTGAATGTGTTTTAACAGCGTGACGTAGATCTGACTGGATTTTCTAATCCGAGTGTTTCCAGGTCTGTTTTCTACCGGTGGCTAATGCAGCAAATAGGCGTTGGAGACTATTTTCATGTTTAGCCTGCATGTGACTGATCGAATTTCAAAAATAACAAGTAAAAAAAAAATGTTTTTCAGTGAACTTGCTCTTTGAATTCAAGTTTTTTTTTAGAGTTGAAACAAAAAATTTCATTTAAACACAATCCCGGCAATTTAACCGAACTATTAACTATACTCGTGTTAAATCTGCATTCTTGTAAAGTAAATATTTGTGTGTAAATTAAAAAAATCAGAAGCCAGAAGTGAAATTTTGAGCCATGTGCAGCTTGCTGAGCTTTTTACAGGGGGTGGTATTAGGAGAGGTCTGATGCGCACCTTTTGTTTGGATCCACATCAGAGACCAGAGACTCAGTCTTGGGCTGTATTGTTCTCTTGTCCCTGGGCACCTGTATACGAAGGTAAACACAGCCGCTGAGCATCTGACCACATCACATCCAACAACTCGGGTCATCCTGCTGTCTGTGTGCACCGCTAGATCAGTTACAAACAGCAGCTCTGCCTAACAGATGCTCCTGAATGGTCAGGTGCCACTATAGAAGTTGGATTTCCATCAGTAGCCTAAAAAATGTAAATTCTACACTGTAAAACTTTTTTGAGAGCTCATACCTCATAATAGTCATAGAGGAAGCCCAGGGCTGCAGCACTGTCCTCGTCTCCATTGATGCTCATCATGGCCTTGGTAGCGGCGGTCAGCGGGTTCTCCAAAAACGACTTCCAGGCTTCGTCTTCTGTGGTGAAGGAGCGACGCTGGCCTCCATAGCCCTGCTTGTTCTGCAGAACCAAGACTGCTCGCTTACTGCAACAAAAAAAGAAGAAGTTTGTTTTAGTCACTGGGGTGCTAATCGACTCTACATGAAGAGTGTATGCTTCACTCGTTGGTTGATAGCAGTTATGCCTTTTTTTTTAGTTCCAGGAACTTAAAAATAACAAATAAATCAGAGCCTACTCAAAAAAACCAACAAACTGGTTACAAGTGTGACAAACCAACCATGTCAAGGTTGTTTATCTCCAGGACTTGTTGTTCAGGCTTTTCAACGATTGTGCAACAAATCTCAGCCATCGCACAACGGTGGCGTGGAAAAAAAAAGATGCGCTACAGGCTCGTCCAGTGCAACGACTCCGGTTCGGAGGAACGCCATTGGCTGAGGAGCTGGCCGGTAGTGACGCACCTGACTTGGTCGCATTCCTGCGGTTTTACTGTGGGGTTTTTTTTTGGTTGACAGAACCTGTTGGTGAGCAATAATCACGAGTTCTAAGGAACTCATCACCACCTTTAACTTCTTTTTCCTGACGCTTCCATCTTGTGGGGCCCTTACCGACTCGTACGCCGAACCAAAATGAATGATTCAAAACATTTTTTGTCATTTCAGGTCCCAAAACAGCTAAGCTGTTCCTGCCACGTCTCATGTTTACAGTAAATCCAAATGTTTACCCATCTGCTTTTTACCTAATAATAGCACAAAAATACACCTGCTCACCCTTTTCCACCATTCCTGTACAAACTCAGTTTCCATGTCAAGTTTCTACAACAAATGCAGCTTTTCCCCTTCAAAGAAACAAACAGTAATCTGATTCTGCTGCTTTAATGAGAAATATAGGAGGAATACAAAAATCTGACTTTTTAAAAACAGGAAAAAATGACACCAGAATGGCGCTAAATGTTATTTTAATGCAAATAAACATTTGAATCGGCAAAAAGAGAAAGAATAGATTAAATGAAGGTTTTAGTTTGGCAAAACATTTGAGTTATGCAGCGTAAAAATCCACCACAAGCCTAGATAGTGCGGAGCTTGCTTACATTGTCTGTGTTGGGGCCAACGCCTAGCAGGTGTACAGTTTCACTCCTCTCAAAAGTGCTTTTTTTGTTGTTGTTGCCCTGATAATACACACAGAGTGGTGTGATCACCCCTAACGGAAAACAAGTCAGATGTTTTTTTTTATTCTAAGCCACGCATTCCTCAGAAAAACAGCTGGTTAGGGTTAGTAGGGTTTATTCCTGAACAACCAGTGTTTGATCCACGCTCGGGACTGTTGCAGTTTACAACAAACCAAACACTAAACCGCCCATTTCGATCATGGGAGCCTTGTTCTAACCGGAGCCTCGGCTCGCACGACAGGTGGAGGTACACCTGTCCAGGCTTGAACATGACAGGTGAACGCAGCAGGCAGGGGGAAAGCTGCATGGGAGAATTAAACTTACCCACGTTTTAGTCCTAAAATGACGCAAAAAACATGTAAAAAGAAAAAAATAAAGTGCGACAAATACCAGAACAGGTGTTAAAATATCAAACCGCAGCTGCAGGTCAGAGATGCACCGAGTTTTTTTTTTTTAATTTTTTTATCCATGCCATAAAATCAGGCGAAAAGATGCAAAAAGAATATTTACCAAATTGAGAATTTTAGAGGAAAATGAGCGTGGACTTAGAGCAGGTCTCGGAGTGGAGAGTCAGGACAACTTACTTGTCATCCTGTGACATCTCTGTCGGTCGAACTGGACTTTCTAGTTGGTTCTGAAAATCCGACCCGTCTTCTTTAGCTGGAAAACTCCTTCACTGGCGCTGGATGAGGGCCGCGGCAACAAACAAGGTGTCCCCTACTGAGAGAACGGGTTTTGTCGGCTTTTCTCGCTTTTTTGGGGGGGCAACGTTAAGAAATTGAGGCCGGTTTTTACCTGACAAGGCCACGGATTGGATTACAGGTGTCCGGGGGGCGTGGTCTCGATGTCAATTACTCAGCGTGCGGCGGTGATTGGCTCAGCTGGTGGCCTATACCTGGAGCCGTAGACAGACTTCAGATGAGGAGATTTTTACCGAACAGGAGGAATTCTTCTTTAACTCTTATTTATTTACAAACACTCACCTGGACACTCACCTGGAATGATCTAAAATGTTAATATTCACTTATCTGCACTTTGTTTGAGTGCTTCAGAACGTATGTTTTTATCTAAATAATAAAACAGCCCCGATTCTGATTTCAGATGCCGATACCATTTTTGATTTTTATCCATTCCTGATCTGACCATACCAGCTAAACCAATACAGCGAGTCAGATTCAGGAAGGAAAATGTTCCATATCAACTATTTCTTATTATGATTAGTGATTGTGAGTTTGTGGCGCTGGGAAAACATTAGAAATCGTTTTATTTCTGTTTCTTTGTGATGCATTCATGATCCGAAGCACAAAGAAATAAAAACATTGGAATTTGAGTTTCAGACAAATGGAGTCAGTTCCAATCACCAGAGTATTTGTTTCTCAAGTGATTAATGTCATTGCCATTTTATTTCAAATTGTTAACTGAATCTGTTTGGATTTATGGAAAATACATATACAATAAATTCTGTAGGAGCCAATATTGTTTTGGTTTAGATTATCTTATGGTCTAAGTTTATTTTGATAATGTTTTATGTACATTTCAGTTTATTGCACTATGGTTTGTATTTCCTTTGACCACTGGTGGCACTGCGGAGCCTATAAAGGTGTTGAGGTGGCAGTGCATTGGCGTTTTGTGGGTGACGGGAGGTCACACGGTTTTTACCGCTTCATTCGGTTTCATATGCCACATCTAATTTGCCGTTATAACTTTCATCATTTACATAAACCTGGACAAGAAATAGCCATTCTGGACCCAGCTTGTGATTGTCAACATATTCAATAAATGGGACAATAAACCCAAACCCGCTTTCTGCCTGGACAATATTGTTGAAGCGAGTCATTGCCTCCACCCGCACCCGAGGGTGACTAAAAGTGGGACTTGATAGTCACTACATCAAGTAAAAACCTGGACCTGTCTAGAATTGGAGGAAGTCGCTTCATCTGGAGCTCATCAGGAAAAGTTTGGCAGGTGCCACACCCGCAGCACTGTTTACCTGGAGGTTGGATTGAGACGTCAGCACAAATTCAATTCAATTCAATTCAATTTTATTTGTACAGCACCAAATCACGACAAGAGTCGTCTCAAGGCACTTCACATAATAAACATTCCAATTCAGGTCAGTTCATTAAGCCAATCAGAAATAATGTTTCCTATATAAGGAACCCAGCAAATTGCATCAAGTCACTGATTAGTGTCTTTGCTGTGTCACTTTACAGCAATCCTCCTACTAAGCAAGCATATAGTGACAGTGGAGAGGAAAACTCCCTTTTAACAGGAAGAAACCTCCAGAGAATCCTGGCTCAGTATAAGCAGCCATCCTCCACGACTCACTGGGGATCGAGAAGACAGAGCAGACACACACACACACACACACACACACACACACACACACACACACACACACACACACACACACACACACACACACACACACACACACACACACACACACACACACACACACACACACACACACACACACACACACACACACACACACACACACACACCAAGCAATGTGTCTATGGTTACATTGTGATTGCTTAGTAAATATTCTATTTGGCGAGAGATAAACTTTATTGTATTTGTCCTAGTGAATCTATTGTTAAACGGGTAAACTAGTAGTAGCACATCCAACGTCAAGGAAAGCAAGAAGTTATTATCAGGAGAGGGAGAATGTTTAAGTGGTTAGCAGCAGTGTGCTAGACGATGGCCCCCTCCATGAGGCCTCCACAGCTCAGCAGAACATGTAGTTTGAATGTAGATTCAAAGATTTAAAGAACGTAATCCAAAAGGCTCACATCATCTGGATTAAGCTGCATTGGACTGTATGGATGTTTATCTTGATTTGGCAAGAAAAAAGAAATCACATTTAATCATTCACCTGGGACAAAAAATAAAGGAGCTAAATTATGTAAATTAACACTACTGTGATATCAGAATGTCAGGTTTAAACCCCAAGACACCATACACAAGGAAGAAAAGAGACACAGAAAGTCAGAATTCTGTTTTATGCTCTAGGAGAATGGAATAAGGTCTGATCAGTGCAATCTCCACTGCACTGATGGTTCCTCCAAAATCATTCTGCCTTTGGAATCCGAGCATCCTCTACTTATTACAAGCTGGGAGTTCCCATCTGATGAGCTGATCTGAAGGGAGGGGGAAATCACAGCTCTCAGTTTTTAGTAATTGTTACAAGTTTCAGACAAAGAGCTTTCAGCTTTCAGTTGTCCAAGTCAGCAATGTCCTTGGGTCACATCAGGTCAGGACCAAGGTTCAGCACTCTTACATGAGACTTCAAACAATTCAGCAACTGTCCAGCATGAAATGGTAAAATCTTTAAATGTAATAAAAGCATAAAGCATGATAAAAGAAAACACATATAATTATCTTAAAACAGAAGTAATTAAATTATTGCTTTTATGACATCTCTGACATCCAAGATTTAAAACAGAACACTACCGTAGGTCATTCATCCTCTCTGCAGGAAGAGTGTATGACTCTTCAGTTTAACTGTTACTGACATGATCCTGGTACTCAATTACATCAATGCAATATTCAATATGCGTTGTGCAATACCTGATGTACATTTGTATGTCTGCATCCCTGATGCTGCATAGTTCTGGAGACACAAGTTTTCTTTTTAGTCATTGTCTTCAGCGGTTGAAGGTTGCAATATTAGCTACATGCCTTTGTGTGTTTACCTGTAATCTTATTGTCTTCCTTCTTCCTTTCCTGTAGGCGACGGGGGCCCGGGAGTGAACTGCTCTCCCCGTAATTGGAAAGTTGCAGGTTTGAGCCCTGCTCAGTCTGTCGCTGTCGTTGTGTCCTTGGGCAAGACGCTTAACCCACCTTGCCTGCTGGTGGTGGTCGGAGGGACCGGTGGCATCTGTGTACGACAGACTCGCCTCTGTCGGTGTACCCCAGGGCTGCTGTGGCTGCAATGTAGCTCATTGCCACCAGGGTGAGAATGTGTGTGTGAATGGGTGAATGACTGATTGAGTTGTAAAGTGCCTTTGGGGGTTCCAGGACTCTAGAAGGTGCTGTAACAAATACAGGCCATTTTCCATTTTCTCCAAGTGTATGTGCTGCTGTAACAAGTGGGAAAAATAAATTCTATTCTATTCTATTCTATACTATTCTATTCTATTCTATTCTATTCTAACATCTTCCCATTTTCAGATTTTCCAGATTAGTAGCTTTTTTCAGTGCATCAATGAGATATTGGGACTAAAATGCTTTTCACTCTGTTGTTTAAAGGAAAAAAAAACAAGCTTATTTGTTTATGTTTTATGTAGTAATTCCTTCAGTGGTCGTGGAACGTTTTTCCCAGCAGGAACTCCTTTGTGCTGCATCCAAATGATCTTGCAGAAAGTTGCCGACAACCTCCTGGATGACAGATAACTATCAGCAAGCACATCTGCAGGCAAATGAGTCCTGACACTCCTCCAAATCGTCACGAGTGTGGATGGAGACGGTGAATATCAGTGTGCAAACAACCGAGGGGGTGCAGAGGGTTTGCCACGTAGCCCACAGCTGCAAGTCTGTCACATCAATGTAAAACAATCATCTTCTGCCTTTTTTTCTGGCTATCTCGCTCTGATACACTTTTGACTTAACAGAATCCTAAACCTACGATAATCTCAGGTGAAAATAAACGTTGGGGCAGTGGATGAAAGCGCTGAGCGGAAAACCAACAGATTAGGTGGAGACAAAGTGGGATTAGAAGATGTTATCTGTTTTATTCAAAGTTTCACACACACACACACACACACACACACACACACACACACACACACACACACACGCACGCACGCACGCACACACACACACACACACACACACACACACACACCCTCTTCCTCCTGGATCCTGGTTCTCTGTTGATTCATCCCGGCGGAGGGACACCTGCTCCTATTGGATCTTGTTTGCACTGAGGACATGGGATAATCCAGACAAGGAGGGGAGCAGGAGAGTGAGACGAGAACGTTGGGAATACGTGGAAGGCTGCTGACGGCGGAGATGCTGACTCGACAGAGCACATCGAGGGTGAAACAAACAAACAGGAGTCAGTTAAAGTCTTCTTGGTTCCTCAAACACCCTAAAACTCACAAAAAGCTGAGTGAAAAGACAAAATATCCTCTAGCTTCATGTGCTACGAGTACGTTTTTAAACCCTCCAACACATTCTGGGTTTTCATTAATAAAGAAAATGTTTATGTGTCCCACATTTTGCTGCAGCTGCATGTTCACACGTCTTCTCTGATGGAGAAACGTGAAAATGAAGTTAGGATTGGGAGTAAGCAGCAAAAATGAGCCACTGTAAAACTCAAAATATGAATGATTGACTGTGTAAAACACATATTAAAGTATTAGTTTGTTATTTTATCTATTTGATTGCCACATTAAAACCTCAGTTTTCAAGCACAAATTCTAAAAACGACCTTTATTTGTGGGATTTTTTCCCCTAAATCTAAAGTTTCTCTGTTCAGATTCATGATTGTCTTTTTCATCTTGAACAAAGAGGCTTTCCTACACAAATTCATCTCTGATGTACTTATCCATTTGGGTTAGGGTTCCTTTGGAGAACTTTAGTGCAGTTTTTCATTTTCAGGGAAAAATTTATTAACACAGACTTTAAGTTGTTTACTTTTATTTATGTTTTTATCAAACAAGCCTTTATTGTGAAAAATACCTCTGGAAATACATCAGATAAACAGACTTTACTCAAATTACTTATTCAACTAGAGAAAGGATGGA